AAATAAATAAATGCGTTTTATTTGAATTGCTTATTAAAGTGTACCTAGTTGAGCATGACTACCATTAAAAAAATACTCTGCACGCTTTTTTTCTCAGTCCTCTATCCATCTACCACCAACTCTTAAACCATCCTCCATCAGTGATTGAATAAAAACCTTCACTCCCACACCGGTGCGTGAAACTTTCAGCTTTTCGGGTCACTTCCAATATAGAATGTCCGAATGTGGTCCAATTCAATTATGTAGATTAGATTAATTGGCTGCTTATGTCCGAGGCATTAAAATGCGGTTCGCCGAAATTAATTAGCTGCTGAATTAATTGTCGCAGTATTAAGTGTATGTTATTTGTGGGTTTCAAATCTATGCTCACTATCGACCGCAATAATTGCAACACCTTTCGAGGAGTGACAAGTTGAAAAAATGGCTTTCTTATACCAGAGGTCAGAGTATGCATGACATGTTATTTGTTCTTGGTAATTGATTATTTTTTTTCGGATACCATTGTTCTTGGTGTATCAACCAAGAAAGATTGAAAGGGTGAAGCATGTACATTCTTTTATGTTCTAACATTTACATTAAATCCAGTATTGGACGACAGCCGACAGCGATTCTTTTCGCGAACTCATTGCAAAATGTTCATTTTTCTACGCCAATTTGGATAGTTTTGATTGAGCGCACGCCACTAATTTATTCGGAAACGTATCGCTTGTAATGCAAATTAAAATAGGATTTTTCGCCTTTATCGGACCTTTCGCAAATTAGTGACCCAAGCCATTCTTATTAGCGCACTTTCTTGGGAATAAATTTAGCATTTTTCCTTTAATGTTTCACTTATAAGTGAGCCTGGGTTCCCAACAGGCAGTATTCGCTTGAAGCCCAATCAACTCACTTCATTGGATACTAGTCATGTTTGTTAAAGTAAGTGCTAAGTTCGTCCTCAAGCCTCAACCATACTCACACTCTCTTTTATAGGTCGTTGCTGTTTTACTGTTGGTGGGCTGCGCTTATGCTGGAATTTCTCACGTCTCCTCGAGCCAAGGAGGTGGAGGAGGTGGCGGACATGGAGGCCATCACATTATCGAATTCTACGTAAGTTGAACATAGCCAGTAAACCTGCTGAGTTTGAATGAATTTTCCTTTATTTCATTGAAGACCTTCCCTCACTATGAGTACAAGTACGAAGTGCATGATCCAAAGCACCACGACGTCCATGAGCAGCACGAAAAACGCTACGGGGATAAAGTGGAGGGCGAATACTCATTGCATGAACCCGATGGTACCATCAGGGTGGTAAAATACGAGGCCGATCATAAGAACGGTTTCAACGCCATTGTCGAAAGGAACGGCCATGCCGTTCATCCGGAAATCGAGCACCATCATCATCATTAACCAAAGTGAGTCCTCGCACCATTCCAACGAATTTTTATTTTTTTGCCTCCAAGCAGAACCAGTATTACTCAAAGGCCTGCTCATTCTGTACCTGCATGATTCATCTCCTGCATCATCAATGGATTAACTATAATAGTTAATGTGTCTTCACCTTCTTTTCCTGCTTATTGTTCATCCCCATTGAAGTATTTTTAAGTGTTATTGTTGTTGTTTTTGTTAATAGTTAATAAAGCCCATATAATTGAGTCACTGATCACTCAAATATGAAATGCACATTCAAAAACTTCTCAACAATTGCCTCACGCCAGATTAAAACTTTTTCCACGGGTCGAGCTCACCCTGTCCTACAAAATGCATACTTCAACTGCACTGTTTCCCGAGAAAAAAATAACGCCAAACTTCAACGAACGCGACTTGAAAAATACTTGCAAATAGCCTGATGATGACTCAAAATCGAAACTTTTTTCACCTATAGAACTGACATTGCCCTATAATATGCTCTAGAAAGTTAGTTTTCAACTTCACTGGTTCCTGAGACAAAACTCCGGTATCCATAGACACACGAAAATTTAAAAAACTTGAAACTAGCCTGATGATGACTCAAAATCGAATCTTTTGCCACTTGTAAAACGGACTATTCCGTAAAAAAAATTCAAGCAAAACTCCATATAGAGATTGACTAGTTTCTGAGGAAACAAATATAACATTCCCACCTGCGTAAATAAGCGTAAAATAAAGATAAAACTGGAAAAAAATATGAAAAACCCTGAGGGATATTCAAACTCGAAACATTTTCCCCTTAGAGAACAAACTTTGCGCTACAAATATTATACAAAAATGATTCTCTAACTTAACCAGTTCCTGAGCAAATAAACGTGAAACTACTGAAGAATTTTGGAAATTTCCTGATCATGGTTGAAATTCGAGATTTTTCACATGTGTAGAACAGACCATGCCGTAGAAAAAAGTTCACAAGCAAATCTCTTAGTACCTAAAGGAATAAATGTTAAATTCCGGCCTGCAACAACCACTTCGTAAACTAATTGAAATTTTCAAAACGTAACAAAAATTGCTTGATGATGACTGAAAATCAGACCGTTTTCCACCACTAGAACATACTTTGCCCTACTAATTGCACACAAGAAAAAAACTGTAGTTTTGTGGTATTAATTTTTTGCAGTCATTCATATACCGATTTACAGGAGTTTAGAAATTATTCAAGTCACTTTTCGCGTTTGGTGCAGTTACATTTTTATGCCTCATATACAGGGTTGCGCGATCTAGAAATTTAAAAGTAATAAACCTAAGTTCAAGCAATTTTTGTTATTTAAATAAAGAACTGTTCAAAGATGTAAAAATTTTCGCACTTACCTTTGCCGCTGATCATTTCTGAATTTAAGCATCTTTTGGTTTACACGTAAAATCCTCAAAAATTAAGAAAAATCTCGAAAACTTCACTTTAATGTCAATAATAGTCGCTGCATGCTGTTCATAGACGCCTTTTGACAGTAAAACGTCAGAACTTTTACAATACGGAAAACACTTTTTTTTTTGCTAAAATCACCACTACCGGCTGAGAAAATAACGCAAAACTATCGAACGAAACTTTCTCTTTCAGAAAAGCGGTAGTTTCCCGCAAAAAAATGGGAAAATCTTGCGATTTTTCACAATTTAGACGGAGCGCATCCCGCACTGACTTTACCATCCATCGTGAATGCAACTGACTGATTTGAGGAAATGTCATAGGAATTGACGTATTTCTGCGAGCTTCAAGCGAGTTTTTGCTTAAAATTTTGTCTTAAAAAAATGAGTCAAGAGAATGTAAAAGTCAAGTTAAAAGAGAACAACTCTCATCAGCAATAAGCCATTTCTTATTTATTATATACACCGTTACATACAAAAAACTACACTAAAAATCTACATGTTTTATACTGATGAGCAACACTGTTTGATAATGAGTAGAAATGATCATGATCCAGGTAACAGAAGCTTTAGGGGAAGTCAGTCAATGTTGAGTCGTTTGGGCCTAATGCAGAGCTACTCCTGCAAGGCCAGAAACCCGCGTTAAAACCCAGAAATTGCAATAGAAAAAATGAATAAATCTCACCTAATGCTCCATGCTGAAGAACTGTAGGATGCAAAGCATGGCCTTGCCGAAGAACCACTGCGTTGAACCCGTTGTGGTCATCGGCCGTGTATTTCACCGTCCGAATGGTGCCATCAGCTTCTTTAAGTGAATACTCTCCTTGGACGACGTCGCCGTGACGAATTTCCTTCTGCTGCTTGTTATCTCCAGTGTGAAGATCACTTACTCCATATGCAAAGTCGTATTGGGGAGGCGCCTGGAAGCCGACATTTTCTCCACAAACTCTGGAAAATCATGCGGGACTTACGTAGTAATCCACTGCTTGGTGCCCAACCAGGCCCGATCCATGCCCAAGAGTCACTATGGGTCCATGTCCAAGGGACAATCCCAAACCGTCGCTCAGAATGGGGACGGCTAATGCTGAGCCGCTCAGAACCGCCATCAATAAAACAAGCTAAACAAATTGTGATATTTTTGCTAGAAATTCTTAAGTTTATTGGAAGGCAATTTTCTAGATTTTATTTTGCAAATATGAAACACATCTCCTTTTTCAAGATGAAAGTGTTTCAGTTGTCAAGTTCATATTTTGCAAAGACACCTCGGGTCCAATGTTATTGAAGGCTCCGTTAAAATTTCAAAAAATCCCAGAAAAAATCTGTTTTTGTGCCGAAAATTGTTAATTTTCTGAACATGGAAGTTTGCCTTCACCGTTTTGTGATATTTTCCAGACCGAAAGTGCGATTTTCTAGGAAAAAACGCGATATTTCCAATTGTGGATTTTCTGACGTTTGCTGTCAGTACTGATCATTCTAAAACGAGCCTGCCGCAGAACATTACTGAATTGTTTTGACACTCAAGTGCAGTTAATTGAAGTCTCAAATACATTTTGAAAGTTTTTTCTCGGGCCAATTGGAAACAGAAATTGGCAGAATTGAGGAAGGTACAGAAAACTTGATATTTTTCAAGTTTGTAACAACAATTTTTCTTTTCTAAGATCATTTTAAGCTGGAAATTTATTTTAAACTAATGTAAGATTCGCGTAAATTGTCAAGTTAGAAGCCTTCAAAAACACGTCAATTCTCTTGTCATCAAGTCAAATCAGTTGCTTGTAGATACAATAATGGCTAGAGAAGTATGATGACGGTCCGTCAAAAGTTCAAAAAATCTTCGAATATTTCGGTTTTTGGTAGAAAAATTGTTGATTTTCTGAAAGCAGAATTTTTGCTCTGTGGGTTTGTAAAACTTTTCAGGCCAAAAGAGTAAATTTCACCAAAAAATCGCAATTTTTCTAAACCTTCTGAAGTCTGCTGTCAGTTTTGGCAGTCATCCGCGCTTACTTAGAACACAACTGAATCGTTATGATATTAAAGTGAGGAGTCTCAAAGACATTTAGCGGTTTTCTTCCAGTTTTGAGGAGTTTGCGACAATTCCAATGGATTATTTGGATACAGAAATGAGCCGATTAATGGTAGGTGGGAAAATTTATTAACATTTTTAACTCAATTTTACTGGAAAAATATAAGAAAATGACTACCCTCTGTAGTCCCAAAAAATATGTTTTACCTCATAACATTCACCAGCTGCTTCCAAAGTGGCCCAATTCCTTACGGGGCATTAAAAATGTGAACATTTTTTTATAATTTCTTTGTCGAAAATATTAACAGCTCGAATAATTCTGCACAAAAACGTCCAATTTTGAATCACGCTGTATATGCATTAACCATGACCAGTGGGGCTAACGGAGGCACTTCTATTTGCGCTGTTTATGTATGTTTAAACCAAAAATTTGACAACTCATTCATTGAACTTTGCAGATCTTTGTCCAATTTTGAGTTCGATTTTTCCTTTATCATCCTTTGAATCTTTGCTGGTTAAAATTATATTTAAACTTACTTTTAGGGTCATTTTTCTATGGCACTTTAGAGGTTGATCTGCTGAACTGACAACGTACCTACTGATACCTAAACCGTGATTCTGCTGATCTTATATATGTATCATAAGAACGACAAAAGCGTTCACTTCACAAGGATTAAAAAATTAGTCGAAACTTGTTCGATATCTATGCATTTCGAGCCAGTTTGGAACACTTCAAGCGACAGCGGGATAGAACCGGTGGATTTTTCCAAAAATTTTCGTGTCCCCATAAATCACAGTTTAGCTAATAACCGGCGCATTATGCAACTTGTTACTTTATTGAATCAGCATATTTATATTGTCCCAGCAGCCACCTGTATCAGTTCTGATTCGACCGGTAATAATTCAGATAAGAACGGACAGTGAAACTGGTTGGTTCAGATCTGTCACGGTACTTTACCGGGCCAGATTGAAGCCGAATGAGGAAGTGCTTTTGATTTTATTAAAGATTTGACAATGCGATTGTTGTCTTATTATGTCGATTAACTTGCATAATGGAACAATGTAACATCAAAAGCATTTCAAGGGAAGAAAGGAGAAAAGCTTTCACTATAGTGGCAAAACTACAGTTTTGTTGGCTGGTTATTTCCAGTTTTACGAGATGTTTTAAGAGAGCCTGAGCCGGAGTGTGTTGTTAAAACAAGTCAAGGCAGAAAAGCTACAATTAAGGCCTGGTTTCGCCATCTACGATTTAAATCTTAATCATTGTTTAAAAGCGAGAATAAAATTCTCAAAAGTGTAAATGCTGAAACTGTAATTTTTTCATATTTACTTCTGGTAGTTTCGGTTTTCGAGCTTTTGGCATGTTTCCTTCCAGAATCCAAGCCACTGGGCACATAAAACTGCGTACTTTTTGGCAAAAAAGTAGTGAAACCACAGTAAATCGTACCGAAGAGTTCAGTTGTCTACCTTACATAGTTGCTGAAATACAGTGGAACATTTCTGAAATGTTTAATCCCCTGGACTTTGATGACTGTGTGTTATGCGTCTACCTTTTTCAAAGATTAAAAAATTCTGAGCAAACCTATTAAAGCAACGGCAGTTTTTAAGATAAAAAAAACCCTTAAAGATGATTAAACTATTCTTAACCATTTCTGAGGTAAAAGCGGCTCGATGGTTTTTTCAAATTTTAGATTTTGACTCTGATCTTAGTATTAATATGCGCGTAAAATTTTGAAGACAAATTAAGGCGACATTTTTTAACAATATCGCTCACAGCTGTTGCAGTCCCAAATTACTGTTAATTGCACCTTGGCCAGATTTGATAAGTGAAAAGTTTTGTGGGTTGGATTTTGGAACTTTGGGGGCTCGTCTCGTTAGCATGTCGTATAAAAAGTCCGACCTAAAGCTCGGATAATCATTCTCAGATCTGAGTTGAGTTAATCGCCGTCTCCTCCAGTTCAACATGTTTAAGGTAAGCGAATAAACCGCCAAATTTACATGAAAAAGCAATCGCCTTTTAGATCTTGGCTTTGGTTCTTTTGGTAAGCGCAGCCCGTGCTGCTCCTCCAGCTTACCATCAAGCTTATGAAGAAAGTGGCCCAGCTCAATACGAATTTGCCTACGCGATCGCTGATCCCCACACTGGTGACTATCATTCGCAACAAGAACATCGCGATGGTAAGAGCGTGGTTGGCCAATATTCGCTTCATGAAGCCGATGGTACTGTCAGAATCGTAAAATACTCAGATGATGGACATGGTTTTAATGCAGTAGTAGAAAGACAAGGAAATCCCTCTGAAGCCTCAGCTGGCTACAAGAATGTCGCCGTACCTCAATACCGCTACTAGAAGCCCGAATTGTTTCGGTTTAATCTGTTTGTTATAGTAATTTATTTATTTATTTGAATTAAAAGCATACAAAACTAAGTTTATCAGATTTTTCTGGGACTGTCCCAATTAGGCCTTAGTCTCCATATAAATGCACATACAATGGTGATGTTTTTTTAAAGCATTATCAGATCATAAAGCCATATCATTCGCCATTTTATCAACAATTTAATTCTCAATAAATCGGGCTCAAAATTCAATAAAAAGCCATAAAGAAAAAATATTAAAATGTAATTTTAGCAATATAAAAAATCACAAATTTTTAAAACATTTAAATTAAATAGCGGCCAATATAAGGTTTCGAGAGAAATAATTTAAACAAGACTTAAAATCCGCTATTGCTAACTCCGTCTAAAATGGTGAATTGCGTCGGAAAAAGCGTTGACAACATGGAATTTCGCAGTCAATTGTCAATTAATCTGCCAGTGTGTTTTCCGTTTTCCATCTGCAGAAATTCGAGAACCCTTGACCAGAGCGTTTGATTGAGTGCAGGTGGGGCTGAAAAACCGTAAAATTCGCTACACTTCCGCATACAACTTGAACTCAGGTATAATCATCTGCTGTTGCGTGTGAAAATCATCATTTTCCTGTGGAAAATCGCTCTAAACTCCCCGAATTCCCAGTTACATAATTGCGAGAATGTTCTCAGTTTTAATCGCTTTTGCACGCATGGGGTTGTTTGACTATGCAGTTGATTGAATACCTCGTGCTTTCCCAATCATTTGAAGCATATTTAAGCACAGAAGGTGTTTTTCAGCTTAACTGTAATTCCGTAAAACAATCAGAAAAGCGTCATTGGCATTCAAGTTTGCTGAACTGACCTGCCTCTAGCAAACACTGCCAAAAATACTTGTTTTTCACGTGATAGCTTGTTATTTTTAAATTAAAGCATTTAACTGGAATGGAACTGCAAGAAACCCGTTACTTCTGGCTTTCCTAAGGTCATTTTCAATGCTTTTTAGGTTAAGGTTACCATTTCAATTTACATAGCTAGTCATTTCTTTCTTACAGTAAATCAAACATGCATCGCGCACGATTAATAGCCAGCGCTATAACGGGGCCCCCAGGCCAGAAAGTCGGTTCTTGGCTAGTGAAAAATTCCCCAGCTGCATTCACCTGCATCCAAAGCAGAACCTACAATGTACCTGCAGCCTCTGAACCCTTCCTCAATGGAAGCTCTGGCCAATATGTTGAGGATATGTACAACGCCTGGTTGGTAGACCCTTCTAGTGTACATGCAGTAAGTGTGTGCGATTTTAGCCGTTTAATAGGGCTCGAACAGTGCGTCCGTTTTCTCCAAATCCTCCCCGAAGGAGTTTGTAATTGTTTACGCACTAACGCTTCCTGGCGATAAGATAATATTAATTGAAGTCACAGGGGAACAAACATTAGAGCGAGAGTTACGTATGTGTGGAAATTTGCATATTTTGTTCACCTGTGGGTAATTGTGTTGCGGCGACGTCGATACTTAGGCAAATATTCCCATCATAACTATCACTTTGCACACATGTCGGCTTAATAATGATTTACAAATTTTAAGTGTTAGGTTTTACTGTGCAATTTACTTGCTCTGATGCAGGCTAAACGTGTGATCAGATAGGTATTTTAGATATTTTATCAAATAATACACATATAATTTCCAAAACCCTTCGATGGTCTCTTGAGAGTTTTCCTTCTGGCTTTTTAAAGGTTGAGAATTTATGTTAATCGTTCCACAGGAAAAGGGTCTAGAAATTCAGATGTTTTTAACCATTTTCAAGATAGAAGCTCTTAAACTTCCAGGGTACCAAATATGTGAATTTCACTTCTATCTATATGCTATTCCTGCAGCAGTTCTTAATTGTTTAAAGCCCAATAAAATTCAGAGAATGCATGACGCAAAATGGCCCTTAGGAAAGATGCGAAAATGAGGTTCCATCCGTACCCACTCAATACGAACACTTGGCAAGTTTATTTATTTTTTCCATGGAATGTGTGTCTAGACTGTCTTCGTTGTTTGATAAGCATTGTGAAATGTATAAGAATAACTTGTTTTTACAAGAAAACGTTAGTAAACAAATATGCAGGCAATCCCACTATAAAGATAGTGACTTTGTTTTTAATTTTTAATTATCAGTCCAGTGTTTTCCCACGTCGTTTGAACTTTGGATGGTGTCTCTTCGAAATTATTCAACGGTGAATCAGAGCGTGCTTTCAGAACAGTTCCGTTGTATAAAAAATATTTATTTCGGGATATCTTCAAGAAAATTCGGCTGTACAAACGTTTGCTGATTGATATCAAGATGTTTTAAAGTTAAAGTATTGTTTTAAATGAACATGTGGATCAGATTTAGTCAACTACTCTTAAAACCCTTGATCTCCGGATTTATAGGAACTGGTTCGCATTTAATTTGAAACGCCTTGGATTAATCAAGAGCCAAGTTTTCCCCATTGAACTAGGCCTGATACAATGTTTCACCTTGAGCGTATTGGGAAACTTGTTTATGTTTGTTTCGCTGAATAAATCCATTGTTTTCAAGTGCTGAGGTAGTTGAGTGTTCTTTGATTGAGCAATTTTATCGTGATTGTACCGTTTCACCCTGGAGATTTCAAGATTATTATTAATGATGAAGTTCCAAAAATACCTATTCCCAGCTGCTTTATAACAAAAGCTAGTTCAGCTGGATTCGGGCCAAAGTTGCGCTATGCAGGTTTGGCAACTGAGAATCAATTTATTGTATCACCGCACCATGGAAGTGTTGGGTGAGTGTATGGATTTTGCCTTTGCAAACTTGGCAGGCGATCTGTTGATAATGGAACAAACATATCGTGTTGTTTTATTTCCAAATTGTACAATTATCCAATAAAACCTTCATATATTGTTCTACTCGTTCACTGTGATGGAACGTCGCGAGTAAATTAACTTTCCGCCTCGTTGCAAGAGCTATAATTCGGTCTTCAATTAACTACTCAGCTTGGTATAGGTCAGGAAAACCACAGCTCGTGATCGGTCAAATTTGCTTGTTTTGGATTCAATTATTGCTGCAAAAACGCTAAATAAATACCTACTTTGAACTGTTAAGTAAGACGTATATTTTGTAGGATTTGGAAATTTTGTTTAAAAGGTGTAAATTGCAGAAAGCATTTGAAACAGCGGAAGAGGACAAAAACAATTTTTGAGAAACCATACTAACCCAACTAGAGAGATAGTAAGAATATGAAGAAGTATGTAAAGCTATTTCCTTCCAGTGTGGGAAAGCCACAGAACCAAACACCATCTGAAAAACGACTTACATTAGCAAAAAGAATGTCATTTTCTATACTGCTTAATGTGTGTATTTAATATGATGCTATTTTCTTTCAGTCATGGGACGCCTTTTTCCGCAATTCACAGGGCGGCGGTGCGGGTTACTCCGCTCCACCAAGCCTTGCCCAGCCCAGACGCAACGAAGTCCCATTGGGGGCGCTGATTCCAAGTCTTGGTGGTTCGAACGCCCTCGGGGGCGGCATCAACGAAAAAGTGATTGACGACCATCTGGCCGTGCAAGCCATTATCCGAAGCTACCAGGTATTCCACACATGGGTCTTACATTGAAATTTGGAAGGTTTTTCGCGCTTTTCACTTGTACATAATAATGTTGCTTGAATTTGCCATTGCATTTCCACCGCTGGAATGTTTAGGTTTATAGTTCTGGGGGCCCGAGGGCCGTTTCGCTTGCGGAATCACTGATCACAATGAGGCATGCAAAGTCATCTACGTTATTTAGTCTCAAAGAGTTTTTGAACAATGCGAGTTAATGTTTTTTGCTGTAGCAACGTGGTCACTTGGTCGCTAAGTTGGACCCGCTCGATATTATGTTTTCCGACCGAACAGCTACCATTAGCGACCTGATGGGGGCCGCACCCTCTGAGGTCATCCGGCAACACAAGCTAGGTAATGCATGATGGACGTCCGCTTCCTTGGACTTAAGCAAAAGAGCCCCATTGTCGACTACTTTTCAACCTAGTTGGGTTTAGCGATCAGTACTCGACCAGTGCGGCTCTTGGTAAAAGAAACATTTGACTCGTTCGGCCATCGTAATTCTAACTGGTAAAAGCAGGTTTCAATTTGGTTCCTTTAGAAGACGGCGTCATTGCGGTGCAATTTCATGTGTAGGAGTTAAGCAGTTTGAAACATTTTCTCATAGTAACAGCTGCATTAATCAGGGCCTTTTCGTGGGTGCTTCTGCCACCTTGTGTTGCTTGAAAACCAGTTTCAAATAACAGCCTTCTGTGGATTTTGCCCAAACCAACGCTTCTTATTTCCCTATGCTTGAAGCTTTATCTGTTTTGAAAACTAACAGGGCATGTAATTGCATTCGCTTGCTATAAGATTATACAATGCATGTTTGTTTTCGCATTTTTTTATCGCGGAGCTTGGAGTGTTTAAAAATACAGATACGAATTTGGTGAAATGCCCAAAACTGTGGTTTTTTTATATATGTCCGGATAGATAACCTTCCTTATAACACAATTTAAAATGTAGACCGTTCAATATAGTCATAATTGTTCAAAATATTTATTTAGGTATCACCAGTTCTAAATAAACGCCAAACATCTGCAATTAAAAAAAACAGACTTGCTTTTACACCAATCCAAACATATCGGAGAAAAGACCTTTTGTCTTTAGATTTCATCTTGCCAGATATAACAGCAATAAATTCACTACCCGGGAGATTAACTCGTAATACGCCTAATTCGTTAACTGTATTTGCATAATATTTTCTACTGTAAATTTTACCATATTATATTAACATTGTGTGATAATTAAAAAGCAATTTAGTAGAGGTGTTGGCGATGTTGTTTCTAGATTCGTGGCCATCACATAGCAAACTTGGACCCATTGGGCATCAATAGTGCAGATCTGGATGACCAGACGCCCCAAGAACTGATTTACAAAAATTACAATTTCGGTAAGACAGTGAACCATATTAAGCTAAGAATCGACAGGTAAAAGATAGTTGCTTGAGAGTTGGAAGCGAGTTTTGGTTTTCGACGAGTTTCGCTCTTGATTAGCGACAGAATTAAAGTAAGTGATGGTTTTTTTCTTTTGGGGATCTTCCAATACAGAAGATCCCATTGCATTAACCGAATTTCTAAACTAAACATTTGTGTGAGTGATTGAAGCTAAATCAAATACCATATGTGACTGTAAACTACCGTTTTTCCGTTGCTCTGTTAATTAACCAAACTTGCCCTCCCTTCTTGCTCGCCTAAAACTAATTTTTACATTGAAAAATTGCTTGTTTTTTTGTTTCAGTTCTTTTTAGCGATACATTTTCTGTTGTCACTCTGGCTTGTTTTCACTTGTTTTGCTTGTTTTGTCCTAACTTTTAGATAGTCCATCCAGAACCTATTCGGAAGAGCTACGCAGGCAGGTTCAGCAGTTTATGCGACGTAAGCACACTTTTATTTTCTTATATTTTCGCATTTATTTTCTCGCTTCGCTGTATGGTAGATGAAAGGTCAATTTTTATAGTTTATTGGCTTTTATCGGTAATCAATCAGTCAAGTGAGTACTTTTTGTGTGTAGTTTTCCCCGTAAGTTTAACATCGCTTCAATGCAGGTTTTTCCACAAACTTGTCCGGCTTTTTTTGCAAGGCGCCTTGATACAAATGTTTCAAACTGTTGCCGATCGTGTCGTAGGTAGGCTGAGGACTGTTGCTCGTTATTTTCATTACCTACTATTTTGCCAATTTTTCTCACCTGCAAATGTTTCTTTTAAGTTTCACTCTCTCCCTTTGGTAGCATTGCGACATCCACCTAAAGGACTGTCTTCAAAATTTTCTGAGCTGAAAATAATCCGATAGTTGGATGACAAGGTGCCCAAAACAAAACTTTCGGTCACATTCACAGCCCCTTTATCCGTTTAAAAACTGCAGATGAAACTGACATGGATCGAGTGTTTAAATTGCCATCAACAACGTTCATCGGAGGCAAAGAAACATCGCTGCCTCTCAGGGAGATTTTGAGGCGTCTAGAGCTGTCGTATTGCCGGCACATCGGTGTAGAATTTATGTTCATAAACAGTCTGGAACAGTGCAACTGGATCAGGCAGCGCTTGGAAACTCCCGGCTGTATGGAATTGACCGCCGATCAGAAGAGGCTGATTCTGGCCCGTTTAACCAGAGCAACTGGGTAAGGAGACGAAACAAACCCGAGCTGTTATTATTAACAGAAAGAGTGTTTCTTTTGCAGATTTGAGTCGTTCCTCTCGCGCAAATGGTCCTCTGAGAAACGTTTCGGCTTGGAAGGGTGCGAAATTCTCATCCCGGCCATGAAGACCGTCATTGATAAATCCACAGAATTGGGAGTGGAAAGTATCGTAATGGGGATGCCACATAGAGGACGTTTGAACGTACTTGCTAACGTCTGCAGAAAACCGCTCTATCAGTTGTTCACTCAGTTTGCTGGATTGGAGGCTGTGGACGATGGGTCTGGTGATGTCAAGTACCATCTGGGAACCTACATTGAAAGGTGCTACGATTGGGTGCTTTTTTATATGAAGATGCTGAGGCTTTTAGTTCTTCTAGATTGAACCGTGTAACGAATAAAAATATCCGCCTGGCAGTGGTGGCCAATCCGTCCCATTTGGAAACCGTTGATCCTGTGGTGGAAGGAAAGACCAGAGCCGAGCAGTTCTACCGAGGCGATGGAGAGGGTAAAAAGGTGATACTCAAGTGGCTGTTTAATTTTTTCCTTGCTTATTCACGTTGTTCTCCATAGGTCATGTCCATGTTGCTGCATGGAGACGCAGCTTTTGCAGGTCAAGGTGTGGTGTTTGAAACCATCGGCCTGTCCGAATTGCCGGACTACACCACTCATGGCACTGTGCACATTGTGGTTAACAACCAAATCGGGTTCACTACTGATCCTCGCTATTCGCGCTCGTCTCCCTATTGCACAGGCAAGTCCCTTTTAGCCGCTGAGCGTTTAACATATTGACAACAAATCTCTTGCAGATGTTGCTCGCGTGGTCAACGCCCCAATTTTCCACGTAAACGCCGACGATCCAGAGTCAGTAATCCATGTGTGCAATATCGCTGCCGAGTGGAGAGCCACTTTCCACAAAGACGTCGTTATCGACCTGGTTAGTGTTGGCGCGGTGTTTTCTCAACAATTCGCTCAATTTAGGCGCTTGGTTCTAGGTTTGTTATCGTCGGTACGGACACAATGAGCTCGACGAGCCGATGTTTACCCAACCGCTCATGTACAGGAAGATCCGAAGCACCAAACCCTGCCTGGATAAATACGCTGAGCACCTGACTGCTGAAGGTAAGTAACACTAAAGGCATTGATTTGCAACTTTTGTTTAAATAACTAAAACCCGCTTTAGGTGTTGTTACTGAGAGTGAGGTGCAAGACGTTAAAGCGAAATACGACAAGATTTGCGAAGAGGCATTGGACAGAGCCAGGAAAGAAACCCACATTAAGTACAAGGACTGGATTGATAGTCCCTGGTCCGGGTTCTTTGAAGGCAAGGACCCATTGAAGGTACAGCCGCGGGTTTTATAGTCGAGGATTTTGTGTTGAATACTGCTTTTTTTACAGGTGGCTAAAACTGGAATTGTTGAGGACACCCTGGTGCATATTGGCAAGCGGTTTTCGTCTCCACCGCCGAATGCTGCCGAGTTCATTATTCATAAGGGTATTTAAATGGCGCTTTTGGAGTTTTTGGAAAATAGCAAGCTGTAACTTTGCAGGTATCGAACGTATTCTGCGGTCCCGACTGGAAATGGTGGAAAACAGGGTCTGCGACTGGGCTCTGGGCGAAGCCATGGCTTTCGGTTCGCTCCTCAAAGAGGGCATCCATGTGCGATTATCCGGACAGGACGTGGAAAGAGGCACATTTTCCCACAGGCATCACGTTTTGCATCATCAAACTGTCGATAAGGCCACATACAAGTAAATAACCGCATTGCTCTCCAATTTTCTTATGTAAAAGACGCTGTTTCCAGACCACTCTGCAATTTATATCCCGACCAGGCCCCTTACACTGTATGTAACAGTTCTCTGTCTGAATATGGTGTTCTTGGATTCGAATTAGGTAGAAATCGCCAACTAATTTCCACTATTTTCAGACAAATTGAATGCTTTTGCAGGCTACTCTATGACCAATCCCAATGCGTTAGTCATTTGGGAGGCTCAATTCGGAGATTTTGCCAACACTGCCCAATGCATCATCGATACGCTTTTGGCTAGCGGACAGTCCAAATGGGTCAGGCAAACCGGTTTGGTCATGTTGCTTCCTCATGGCATGGAAGGACAAGGACCCGAACATTCAAGCGCCCGCTTGGAGCGATTCCTGCAAATGTCGTCCGACGATCCGGACTATTTCCCACCGGAAACTGAGGACTTTGCTGTGCGTCAACTGCACGACATCAACTGGATTATCACCAACTGCACCACGCCAGCCAATTTCTTCCACATGATGAGGAGACAGATTGCTTTGCCTTTCAGGTAGGCTTCATGCCAAAAAATGGTTCATTGGTTTTAACGAAAAATCCTTAAATTTTCAGAAAGCCCCTGATTGTAATGACACCCAAGAGTCTGCTCAGACATCCGGAGGCCCGCAGTTCTTTCGACGACATGGTTGAAGGTAATTTCTCGTGCACGTTTTTGCGTTTTAGGCTGACGCCTGCTCGGCTTTTTCAGGCACAGAATTCCAGAGAATCATCCCCGACGAAGGCAAAGCCTCTCAAAACCCTGGCAACGTAAAGAAGCTGATCTTCTGCTCTGGAAAAGTCTACTTCGACCTGGTTAAGGCCACTAGGGAACAGGGACTTGACGACAAAATCGCCATCACTCGAGTCGAGCAGGTAAAACGATGGAAACTCTCAGTCGACAACTGAGAATTTACGGTTTTTTTTTCGTTTCAGTTAACTCCTTTCCCATTTGATCTGATCAAGAACGAATGCGAAAAGTACTCGAACGCCCAAATCGCTTGGGCCCAGGAAGAACACAAGAACCAAGGCGCCTGGACTTATGTTAGGCCCAGATTCGAAACTACATTGGCCGGTCAACGAGATGTTATGTAAGTGGACACTACTATTTATTTTCTCGGCCAATAGACATTAGCTGGATGAAGATATGATTTTAACGCCACTTTTTCCACTCCTTGTTCTTGTTGGAGGAGATGGAAATGATTCTTGTGTTCTTCCCGTTGTTGCCTGCTTGTTACCTTTAGTAATACCTTCCGGTGGTTTCTGTTCAGGTTCAGTCGATAAGATTCTCAACAAATGTCACTTTTTTCTCACAAAGACTTATTTCCCTTGATTTTACTTTACTGCCTTTGCTCATTAGATGACTGGATTGTTGTCTAATCTGATTTTTCTCTGGTGTGTTTTAGTCCGAGTAAAAAGGGTTGGTTCGTTAGGTTGTTTGGAAAAGATGATCCGAAACCCCACGAGACGAAACCTGACGAAAGAACAGTCAGGTAAAAAATCATATCTTCATGTATAGTTATGTGTGTGTTGGCCTCTAGATGTTCGCGCCCTTTGAGCTTGATTCTGTTCGTACAATTAGGCTTTGTTAGCTAGCGGTGTGTTTTTTTGCAGTTACATCGGTAGGGCCGTAGCGTCCAGTACTGCGACTGGAAGCAAAGCAGCCCATCTGAAGGAACTGAAGAGTCTGCTCGACGATACAACCAGATTGTAAGGTAGTTTGGGTTAAACCAGCCTAGAATATTAACTTAATTTATTTATTTGAGTCACTTTAAATGAAATATTCACGTATCGGTAAATTGCAACAAGTAGCTAGATTGGTCTAGTGAATTGGTTAGTAGGCACAACGCCGCAATATATGCAAATCTTAGGAGTTTATTAGTGATTTTTTTCTGAAAACTGCACCAACTATAGGATAATCAAAGTTAGGTATAATGAATGTACATAGCACATTGTTATATATTTTTTTGATGAATGTATACTTAACGAGTGCAGATGGAAGAAACAAAGGCCAAACTTTGAGAAATTATCTAGCCATACATTTTAATGATGAAGGTATTAGGTAGTGTAAACGGCACGGTCGCGGTGTTACCCGCAAGTATTTTAACGTTGGATGTTATTTATTTATTGTATTTTTTCCTTCGCGAAACTGTGAATTATTAAAAAAACATTTGTTGCATTACCGTCGATAGTTTAATGTTTAGACTGGCCCCCTTTTTAGCCCTAAGTTATTTTCGTTTAAAATTCCCGATGTTAATGTCATATTAATCAAAATCACAGCTAAGCTGCCAAATTCCCAGTGAAAAGCTGTTTCAAATTAAAAAATGAACTCAGAATCGATTTGCGAAGAGTATTCATTAACCTGGAAAGGCCACGTTCAGCATGTGAGAGACTCCTTTAGTAAACTGTGGCAAAACAGTGCTTTTTGCGATGTAACCCTTTATGCGGAAGGGCAGAAAATTGGGGCCCACAAAGCTTTCCTGACCGCCTGCAGTGGCTATTTCAGCAAGCTGTTCGAGGAATTCAAAGAAGAGAAGCTAGTGATTGTTCTGAAGGGAGTGCAATTCAACGTCCTGCAACACATCCTTCGGTTCATTTACAATGGCGAGGTGAGCATTGAAGTGGAGAAGTTGGGCGCTTTTCTCGAAACGGCCGAGTTCTTGAACATCTTTGGCCTCATCAAGGACAAAATCCAAAGGAGAAAAACCAGTTCTGTGGTGTTTGAAACTGATCAAGCTAGTAATACGGTTGCAGAAGGTGCTGATGAATCAGAGACAGGAGAGTGCGATAGCAGCGAAGAAATCAGTCAGTGTAAAAATAAGCTGAAGGCTCCCAAGATGTTTCGTATCGATACTATGAGCTTGCAAGAAAACACTTCAAGGGAATCGAATCAACGGACAATGTTTTTAGCAGGAGCGGCGAGAAATGAATGGATTGGGGATATTGAAACATCTGGATCATTACATCAGCTAAGAACGGAGGACGCGAAGTCTAAAAAACGAAAAATCAAACCAGAGAAACGGTCGAGCAGTTTGGCGGAAATTAAAGAAGTGGAAAGGACTTTGGTCAACTACCAAGGTAAACCTAAGCCCTAAACTGGCCTAACGTTTAAATCTGTGTTTTAGTAGGGCTTTTGGACGGGGATAAAAATTTGATTGAACGAGGCACGTTAAGTAGTGCAATGTTTGATCAATTAAAGTTTGTTTCAATTTATAGCCACCCTCACAAGCCTGTCGGAGGATGGGTTTAGCAACATTAGACGATCTCCCGTTAGAAATCAATCCAAGAGGGACAACATTTGTTTAATATGTGGAGTAACGTTTGCCCGCAGGAACCTTTTACGCCAGCACCTGCAATTGCACGAAAAAATCACTTAAGTTAGGGGGTTTTGAAATTCACAGAAAAATACAAATTTGAGAAAAACTTTATTCTATAGAATAATCAGTTTTATCCATAATTTAGCAGAAGGACAATGAATAAAAGAGCTTCGCATAAAACACTGTACACATTGAAACTCGTACTTACTAAATAAAGATTTTGGTATATGTTTCTATCTACTTATTTCCCACAGGATCGATTAATGACCATGTGCCCCGAACCTGCTTAGTCGGAATAAAATTGTATACGCCCCAAATTTCTCAACGCTAATAATCTGCCATTTTTCCTCTAAGTTTTGTATTGATGAACTAATGGCAGACGGTTGGTTGACTGGTTTTATTGCTTTCCAAAGCTTGTACCAACAGGCTATATAAAATACCTAATTGAAATCGTACTCCTCTAATTAAAAGAAGGGTTTTATTGAACCGCATACAAATGAACGATAATACCCTGATTACTTGTAGCCTTTTCGAGTATCTAAAAATGTAAACATTATTACTACATTATAAGGCATTGGGGAACAGTAATATTCGTTATTTTGGGAGGTGACATCGAAATGCTAGTAATTATACATGAATCAGTTGTGAAAAAGTGCGGCGAATCAGTTAAGGTTGCGTTATTAATGTCCCTTAACTTTTCCAAAATGTGAACTATGTGCTTAGTTTTAACGACTTTTTCAGCTTAATCATCACAGAACATCCACATAACAACGATATGCTTAAATAGTATCTCGCAATGATCGCGCGACTTTCTTAAATGCGTCGAATTTGGTAAATTGGTGCATTTATAACCGACGAAATACAAGTCGTATGTTTATTATTGAGAAAACCTACTCCTAAAATCTGCAGAGATTCAGTTCGATATTGTTTATTACTAGTAGGATGAAAGGAAAAATGTAAAATGAATGATTCTCGAGTAAAAAGTATGAATTAAGTCGGTCCGTAGGATACACACACCCTACAACGACACTCAATATTTTGCGTTTTATATTACATTCGCTAAACGGCTACACTAACTAATCTAACGTTTAAGGTACAAACTTTAACATAATCTATATCTATGCAAAAAAACTAAGGCTGTAGTGGGGAAACTGTCGACGATTTGTACTACTAAAATGTATTAATTCGAATGAAAACCATGAGTATCATTTTAGCAAGGTAACTCAAAATATAAGATTCTTCATCATAGCTAGAAACACCAAACACTTATTACGCGGTATAAAATAATGTTAGAGCAGCCCATTCCCAAGACGGTCTCGAATAACTGAAATAAGTCGCTTTAACTGTTGATGAAAAATGGTTTCAAGCTACAATCATACTCATACCATAAATAATTTAAAGGTTCGAATGACTCAACAGCACATTTATTCGTTAATGAAGAAAAACTTAAACTTGCAGCAGTCTCATAATAGATATCAATAAATAACTGAGAAAATGTCAAATCAGTGGGGCTTGACTAGTGAGTAGTATGTGGACAGTTCTCTCGCGTGTTTACGAGAATAATTGCCAACAGTACTAACAGAAGTGTATCAATTGTAACGCGCTCTTGTCTGCATTACAATTAACATACTAATCACTAAATGGACATGAAATTTAACCAAACCTAAGCTCTGAAAATAATCACATTGTAACGCAGAACGAAGCACTGATAAGTTCGGTTGTTGTTAGACAACCACCCGCTTTAGTCGCCCCAGTTTTCATCGTCTGTGTCCATTTGTTCTTTAATATCATCAGTAGCTAATGCTGGAAATTTGAAAAATTTCCATTTAAATAGTAGGACCAAAAGGCAAATAGTTACTTGCTAATGTAGGATCGGGATCAGAGTACAAGTCTTGTTTCTGTTTCTTTTTGGCCAAAGCTTCCAGTTCCTCTTTAGAACGTTCTTTGCGAAATTCGTATATTAACGGGTAGATGTATTCTATTGCGGCTTGAACGTCCGCTACACTTGGAGCTGAAAAACGAATTGTAAAAACAAACTGTTCGCTTAGATTTAATTGCGCGATTAAAGTGTTATTTGCGCATCTCACAAAGAACTAGTGAATAATCACCTGTTACGGTTACGCTTCCAGTGGAAAATATCTTTAGGGTGGCCCGTGGATTTTGTAGTTTGTACGTGACTCCTGGATGCAGTTCTGGTTCGTAACTGAAAGATACATATAAAACATTTAATCCATGGTGCATTCATGGGGACAAATTGGCGAGTACCAATTTCCTTTTCGCTTGCATGCTAGCGCCAGTTTCACTTATTAAATTCACCTTCTCACTTAAAATGGTTCATTAGTTAAGTGATAACGAGCGGATGAATTTGACTGACCCAATTAAGGCGAAAAAGTGGGTGTCAATTATCAGTGTCGAACACGTTTAAATGAAATAATTGCTTAGGTGAATCATTGCCAGTAAGGAAGTCGATATGAGAAACTTCCTATGCGGTCGCAATATTGAAAATTACTTTTAATTGCAGTTGTAAACAATTAAAAGATAGATTTATGTTGAATTAAATTGAATTGAAATTCCCTGTTCAATTTGCTGAAAATTAACCTTTACACTACCGTTTCGTATACTTAATGAACATTGCCGAAAAAAAACAAGGTCAGCATAAACAATAAATGTCCGATATAAACACATTAGTATTCAGATATGGAGAATCAACAGCAACTTATCTATGAGAAGAGTGTTCTTCTCACTAATCCTGACCCTTGAATGTGAAATTGGGATACATTTAATGCTCTTATTTTTTTATTTAACGCTACTTATCAGTGGACTATTTACAAAAATGTAATTTTAGTTATTCCTTTAGTTTATTTATAAATGGATTTGAATGGAAATTTCGAAAGATGCAAACGTGATTTATACTGAATTTCTTCCTGGCGTTTCGGAGGTACGAGTGGCTTGCATCTTCTTTAGTCAGAGATGAGAATAGAGATGAGCTATTGAGGAGAATTATTTAACGTAGTTGAAAGAAACGATATCAAGAGTTCTTCAATACGGAGGAAAAACGTCGCGTTTCAAATTTCCAATCGTTTGTCCAGTTTTGTTGAAATTCAAACAGTAATGTTTTAATGAAATCATAAATTCATGTCATCATGTAAAATCATTTGTATGGAAGAAATCTTTCATTGCCTTTTATGCCTTCAAAATTTTAGTGCAAAATTAGCTGCTGCATTTATTCCCAGACATCCTGTAGAAAACAACACACTGAGAACAACCCCAACATGAGATCATTTAGCAGTACCTGCAAAAATCTAACTCTAAATTGTCTATAAAAATAATCCTACAACATTTAATGTACATTTTTGCTTATTTTCAATCTTCTCTGAGAGTGAAGATCATTCCGTTGTTTTAAACATGTTCGGAAATT